ATATCTAAGGGAAGTTCGTGTGAGTGGGAATTATAATTTGTCATAACATGAAACCCAGTAACAAAAGATACTCTACTCAGGGAACACCTGCGAGTCAAATAGCATTTAAGTTCAATCTCAGAACTAGAGGATGAAGGAGAGAAACTTATTTTACAACATTTAGGATAGTGGTGGTCGCATACCGGCTGTGACTACCAAGTGACGTCGTTCGATCTAGAGATCTAGCGTATATCTGTGTATGCAGCCCTCGATCAGTAAAAATAGTAACTGCCAGGCAAGCTGAAGTCACAAATTAGAAACGTGTATAATCCGTTTGTTGCCGTAACTGCCTTGTATTAATTGAATTTAGAAAAGTTTCCACCCAAGACGTTCTGATGACGACAACATCCTTTTGCTCCTCACTTTCCGATAGTTTTCGTCCACACACGTAGCTAAGACCACTGAAGACACAAGCAGATTTGAAAGTAGACTGACCAATAGTATCTGCACGTAGATCGTAAGAACGAGTGTAACTAATTGTTGTCTGTTCAGGAAAAAACAGCGACAGCAGAAACACAACGTTCAATGACTTGGAACACGATGAGAAAAGTATAAGGCCTTACATTGCGAACAGGTGGAAAGTGGGGTCACACCGTCTAACAAACGAACTCCATGGAATCGGCTAAAGTTCTGGCCTTGAAACGTTGCGTTGCGTGGATTTGACTCAGAATGATAACTCTGCAGGTTATGTAAGGAGGTGAACACTGATAAGTCAAGTAAACTTCGCAATCTTAACCATTAACCTTGTCTCTAGGGTGACGAAAAAGAACCGAACCAACTCCGCTTACGTCAAATATGAGTTTCTACAAACAAAACCCACAATTACAAAGGCAGACTCATGCTGCCCTGCGGAAGTGAGCGAACACATTATTGAGGTGAATGCGCCGATAGTAGACAAAACAGATCGAACAGATAACCTGCCTGCCCGATTGAGCGAAATGGAGACAGAGTCGAGGGGCAATACCAACATGAGCAGGTATGCACGCGTCGTTCTCGAACAAAAGCAGACACGTAAACAGATATCGAAGACCAAACGGACTGACAATTGACAAGTTCTGCTACGTGGTAGACAAATACTGTATAACTATCATATGCATATTGAGTGAAGGAGGGAGGAACGTAAGAGAACATAGGAGAACAAAGACGACCGACAGGATTGAAGCTCTGACGGCAACAACATCGAGCGAGGCTACATAAGCAGATGTTCGGGACTAAAGGGGAGACGGAGCTCACAAGGTATGTGGAATCTGTGGCAACAGTTCAGCGTGACAGATGTATATACATAAGCATATATAGATGTGTCGTTGGGTGGACGGGAGCGTGTAGGCGGAGAGAAAGAGAGACTTACCTTCTAATGATGTTTACGAAAAAAATCAATGTAAAACAAAGCAACTGAATAACAAAAGAGATTGTAACACTTTAAAGATAAGAATGAGCATCGAGAAGGAGCGTAAGCAATGAGGACTCGTGCTTTTGGTAACACAACCCCGACATCATATCCAACCTCTTGACAAGAGCAGAAATAAACTAGTGACGGAGACTCCAAACGGGGTCAGTAAGTAGCTTGAAGTAGAACACACCTCCAACGTACTTTCAACCTGTGCAGTAATCTAAGCATCGCCTGCCTGTCAAGTGGCGGTAAAGCGCCTAGACGTGAAATACCCATGCAGAAAGACAGCGACCTGATGTCTCAAGTGCACTAAGAGCTATCCAAATGACAGCTGAAGATGAAAGTAGCTAACCAACCCTTTATCTTGTCTACAGCATTGCGGACTGCTTGGTTCTAGCGGACTCTCGAGGATTTGGCACAAGCTTAGTGCGTAGGGTAGTCGACTTGTTTCCCCCCTAGCTCTCCGTCTGAAATCACATTTTGGTACGATAATAACCCCTCAAAGACGGACCTTTAGGATCGTATCGTAATTCCTCTCCCTATATCCCTCCGCCCCTCTCTCTCT